CGTTGTATCCCAGCAATGGTGATTCTTAGGAACAAACGTGTTATAACGGTTTTTGGAGATAATTTTATGATTTACACTTTTATCTAACCTATTTTTATGATAAACCTTACCGTTTAGCTGAAAAATGGTAACAATCAATTTATGTGACCTCTGGCCTTGAATAATTTTTTTTACAGATCTGGGATAGTAAGAAACTATTTTAAAGATATGGTTTAAATAGAGTAGCAATTAATTAACGGGTTATAATGTACTCCAATTAGGTTGACAAGTGGAAATTATGAAAAAAAAATTGTACTATGGTAAAAAAAGATTTTTTTTTTGAAGTCCCCATCTCAAAAGATTTTCCGATTTTCCCATATACGAAAGGCAAATTTGTCTGTTTAAAGGAACACCATATTAGTGGTGCAAATATACATCGATTTACATCTTTTATCTCGCTTCTAGCAAAAAAAAAAGAAAGCTGTAAATTTCTTACTCGTTCGTTTTTAGGCATGCCATTGTTACGAATTTCGAAAGTTCGAAATACGATTTGGATTGCAGCATACTTCTAAGATTCGTAGCAAAATCCGAATACGAAAGAGTTGCAGAATAGGGGTGTCTATTTGATGGAGTTTTATGGCAGATATGGCGCTTTATTGACCGCATACAGTGCTTTCAGCTTTTCAAAATCCTTTTTTTTATTAAATATCTAAATTTGAACAACGCTTCCCCCCTTCAAAATGAGATATCATTCATTAAGTTTAGATGAAAATTTGCTTGATTTTCGCAAATTGTGAATAAAGTTTGAAATTTGGATTACATGTTTTTTAGGGTATAGAATAAACTTTTATAAAAAAATCGGCAACAATTTATTATGAAAAATATGGTAAATATTGTAAAAACTCACTATGTGATTACGGTCTGTATTATATAAGTTGGAAGAAGAATTATTTGCATTATTTGTATACGAAATTTAAATTACAATGACTTACATTGTGATCAGCTAAATGAGGGAGCAACGTTTTGATATTTTTTTTTATTTTTCTTTTGTTTATTTAATGTTTATTATTTTTTCTTTAAAGTTTAGCTCATTATATAACAAACATCATCTAAATCCACATTTGAAACTTTGTTCAAAAATTATAAAAAATCTGCAAAGTTTCAGCTAAATTTTCAACTTTTTATTGAGATTTTTTATAATTTTTTGGAGTAAATATGTAGTTTAATAGCCCAATAAATACCTACTAGTATAATAAAGTGCAAGTTTTTTTCTGACGGTATTACGCATTTTTTTTCACAATCTAATCTTCGTTTGCGTAATTTTCTGGAACAAGTCTGGAATAGCGACCTTTTAGCTATAAAGTAACCAAAAATGCCGATTGATAGAACTTTTTACGCTTATTTCAACGATATGAAATTTATTTGGCGCAGGTAAATATAAAGAAGATATAAGAGGTTTATTTGCTTTGTTTATTTATATTTTTTATTATCACTTAATTCTTAAAACCCAAAAGTAGATAATGATTAAGTATGTATACCGCATTAAACTTGTGTACTTTCTAAATAAAATAAATTTCTTTACGATTAATCATGCAGTTTTTTACAAAAAATTTATTTCATGAAAAAATAACATTTGTTCGTTTTTTAGTGGTGTTGGTTTAAATATATAAAAAACAATTTCAATTATGTATATCAGCTGAAAGATAAATTTATTATCTTTTTGGTGACGTTATTAGTTTTTTAATCGGTTATGTGGTTCATAAGATATTAATATTTAAAACAATCAAAAAATGTATCTTAAAACTTCTAAAACGTCTTGCGCTAAATAATTTTCGCATGCTTTAAATGAGCGTAAAGTGTTCTATTGATCTGCATTTTTCGTTTATGCATAGCTGGACGGTGGGTATTCTAGATTTTTTCCAGGAAATGACGAATAGCTTAAATTAAAAATCCATATTTTTACGTATTGTTTAGTATTTCCATTAAAACACCAAATGTATTACAAATTCACATAGAATTAATAACACACGTTTTACTTCTCATTGCATTCTTTGCGCAATTTCCTTTCCTACCGTTTTCGCAGAAGGCGATCACATTCTTCCCCTTCCCTACTTCCAAAATACAAATCTAGATAAAGGAGTGTCAAATTTCAGTTTTCACAAATTACAAAACCATGTGTTATTGCATGATGCAATAATACAAGGTGGTATCAGTTGTGACAGCTCGATTTGACGCTGTCTTAGCTCAGTAGAATGAGAAGAAAAACGGGTGAAAAATATAAAACTTCACATTTTCTCCTAAACAAAATTTGCTTTTTTATAGAACATTCGTAAAGAAATTAAATTAAATTAGATAAAATACCTTTTTAAGAAAACAAAATGTGTATACTGAGAAAAAATAAATAAAAAACATTCAACTATATTATTAAGCAAACGAGGTAACACTGTTTCACCTAAGGCAGTCAATATGGCGGAATTAAAACGAGAAGTTGCCAACCGGCAACCTTGGTGTTATTGAATCATGGTCACTGAATCTGTCGACTGTTCTTCACTGCTGTGTAAAATTAATTTTAATGTGCCTTATAGTCTTGCGACTGTATATGGCTCTAATGCCCCGATTAACAAAACAATGTTCGAATTAATTAAGCTCTTTGTTTCTCAACTTCTAAAGTGGACTTAAAATATAATTTAAAATCACACTTATGTAATAATATTGCTGTCAATAATTTTATTAATACCGTTTTTCATTTTGTAGTCTGTAAGAATTGTAAATTTCATAGACAAATGATGAAATAAAAAAATAATTACAAACTAAAAATCAGAACTATTTCGAGATTTTCGAGACTACTTCGGGATTCTCGGGGAAAAATCGATTGGAAAAACTCAATAATTCCTGAAGATGCCTTCAGATTGAAGGCGAAATATCGACAGCAATAAATGTAATAAATAAAACCGCCAAAATATATGTTTTATTTAACAACCGGCCTGGAGCTCAAAATTAACGAATAAATTATAATAAAAACGGCCAAAATCAAAAAACTAATCACGGGGAAATTTAATGATTTTGCAATCTTTAATGATTTTGCGATATTGTTATCGATGTTATAATCGATGTGATTAATGATATAATAATCGATATTTTTATCTATATAATAATCGATATTGTTATCGATATAATAATCGATATTTTTGCCGAAAAAAATTGTTGATATTGTTATCGATTTACTAATCGATATTTTTATTGATACAGGGCCTGTGCCAATTGATAGAAAATAAGAAATTTTGACGGATGTAACTAAAAACTAGACATTTCTCGTGGTGAATACCAACGTCAGAATTTTACCTAGCTCATGGGGCTAGGTAAAATTTTGACAGCATATACATAAATATGTATGCACAGTATTGTTTGGCGGTAATAAAGAGTGAAAATCCAAATGGAAGCTGAAAAAGCACAAAAAAGCAAGTTGCAAAATATGTATATATAAATTTGGGCAAAACACAAAAATAGAGCTTTCGGCCGAGTGTTTGTTTGTTTATTTTTTGAACTGTCAAAATTTTGCTTTGCATTTGGCACAGCGAAATTCAGTTTATTTGTACACCATAGTGAATTTTTCCCCCCGTCTCACCCCAGAGTAAAATGTTACCGATTGGCACACAGCCATATTTATCAATATTGTTATCGATATTAATGATCGATATATTTATTGATATACACATTTATCTATATATTTGGTCTCGAAAGTACCGAAATGGTCCCTAAATACTCCCTATTGTTATTTTGTCGTCGATTTTCCGCGCGCATTCAGTGAGTCGAAAAAGAAAAAGGGAAGGCACGATTTTTGCAGGCATTAACTTATAAAAGCGTTTTTTAATGTTATAAGCCCTACGGTTGCGTCTAATCCAAATATGAAATAAATGTGTATACATGTATATAGTATATAATAACCTTTATATCAAATTTGTATATGACCCCTGCAATGTTAAAATGATACATATTACTTAAGAATAAGGTTTATTCCGTCCAAAAAGGAAAATATAAAAATTTAAACCTTTCGAAAAAAGGATCAGCTACGATTTTATCTCAAAGGATTTTTAACCTACAAATGATATAGAAAAAGCTTGTGAAAGCCGATTGTAGGTACAATTTTATAAAACTTAAGACTGGTTCAAGACCACCGTGATTTGTAATTGAAAGTTTCCATAAACAAATTGTTATGAAAGCTATCAATAAACAACGGCTTAATCAGCAGATATTGAAACCACTAATCAGTTTTGAGATCGTCTGACACTTATGAATAAGAATAGCTTTACTCCGGTTAATTTATCACAGGTTTCAAATATGCCTTTTTCGCGTAAAACTTGGCCACTCCGTCTCTCCGAGGGGATGCCAAATTCAGACATCGCGGCGTATACGGAACTCCTTTTAGTGCTATCGAAAGTGGCTTTGAAGTCGACAAATAGATGATGAGTGTCGATCCTTTTCTCACAGGCCTTTTCCAAGATTTGGCGTATTTTGAATACCTGGTCTATGGTGGATTTGTCAGGTCTAAAGCCACACTGATAAGGCCCATAATACGCTCGATAAGACCTTGTAACTTATGCTTAGAAAGCTGCGGTGACAGTGACAGTCATTGACCAGATATGAGTGTGGGTCCTTCCGGTTCCTTAGACCAGACTGTCGTTAGTCTTCTCTCCCTCACTTGGAAACGAAAGTTTAATACATGCACAATTGTTCTCGTTTGTCAAGGGCCATTCTTCTTCTCCTTTGGTTAGCTTTCTGCGTCAAAAAAATCAATCTGGAAATAAATAATGGATCGAAATACTGCCACGACAATACAACCAATTTTTGAACATTTGTCTTTTGTTTATTTAATGTTTATTTTTTTTATAAATATCTAGCTGTTTATACAACAAACACCATATAAATTCACATTCAAACTTTGTACAAAAATTATAAAAATTCTGCCGTTTCACAAAAATTTCAAACTTTTTGTATGCAGGTTTGTAGCCCATTAATTGCTAGTACAAGTTTCAAGATTGTAAAAAATCCCGTTAATTTTTTTTCGTTTAAGGTTTCCAATTTTATCCATACAAAGTATGTTCGACAATTTTCATTTATGTGTATTGAAGCCACTCACTGCCAGCAAAATAATTTGCCAAAAATCTACGGGATTTTCGCTAATACCATGTGAGTAAATCGTTCTCATAATTAAACCCTCAGTAAATCCTCACTTCTAAAAACTTCCGTTTTTTGGTACTATGTTAAAAGTATATGTATTTTTTACATAAAATTTTCCTGGTGAGAAATGAATTTAAACATTTCAATTAAACTAGCTAATAACTCCGTAAGCAGTAAAAAATTTATCGCATATAATTCTTATTTTTTTTCAATTGATCACGGTTAATCTGTTTGAACATGCGCTGTTTCGGATTTTCTTCATTCATTTGCTTGTAGTAACCGAATCCGCCGCCACCAACACGTTTTTCTGGGCGATTGCGCTTAGCACCTACCTTAAGATCAACTACTGGTGGCACTAAGAAACCGAAACTTTTCGCTACTGCTTGCAAATCCAGCGTATTGATTTCGAATATTGTTTTCAATTGGTGGGAATCATATGCACGTACATAGGCCTTAAAGGCTTCCTTGGCCGATTGATTGAGGAAATAATTTTTCGAAATGAGTTTTTCCAGCTGTGAATTACATACGAGTATGAATTATTAGTCTACTAATATTTTAACATGTAATACAGTGTTTACCTGTAGCTGAATATCCGCAATTTTCGCCCAAGAAAATTCAAACTCATTAAGTGGAACTTTGGCTGCTTTTAGATAGCGTAGAAACCCGAGTTCTTCGGGACGTAGCAAAAGCAGCGCATGGCCCGAACTGCCGCTACCACGAGCAGTACGACCAACACGATGAATATACTCCTGGATTATTATCAAATGATAAATTCAATATATTTGTGGTGTTTTTCCGATCAGTTTAGTTTGGTTGAAATTGTTATATTTGTTAGGCTAACAAATATAACAATTTCGATAAATTCAATATTTTGGAGTAACAAATTAATATTGTCCACGCCGATTGCAACGAACATACCTTTGGGTCATCTGGGGGATCGTACTGTACAATCCAGTCCACTTGAGGTATGTCAAGTCCACGCGCAGCCACATCTGTGCATAGCAGTATACCCTCAGATGCATTGCAAAACTGAAAGAATGTTGTTGTACGTTTTGTTTGCTTTTGCTTGCCCTAAAACACATATCCATTGATTACACAAGACCGTTATTAACGCAAAAAATTAGTCTTACATGTATAGACGTTACAGGCAGATCTATGTAATTGAACAGTTCGTGATGGTATTTTACAGACATACAAGATGAAAAGAATACCATCACTTTCTTCTTTCGATTCTTTTTTAAGAAGGTAAATAGAACCAATAAACGTTTTGCCGAAGGACACACGATGTAACCTTGTTCCAATCCACTAACCGTAGCTACTTCCTCATGATCATCGACTCCTACATAGATTGGCTCCTTTTTGAGTGCCAATCTGGAAAGGGCATCGATCTTTTCCGTCTGAGTAGCCGAAAATAACATTGTTTGCCGCCGTTCTAGAAATTAATAGTGAGTTAAAACAAACTTACTATTTTATACAAAAAAAAAAAACATACTTGGAAGTAAGTTAACAATCTGCTTCAATTCTTCCTCAAAACCAATTTCCAGTATACGATCCACTTCATCGAGAATCAAACATTGCAAATTTTTGTATAGGAAATCTGGTGAATTTTGCAAGTGGTCCAACAAGCGGCCAGGAGTAGCCACTAAAATATTAATGCCTTTACCAAGTTTTTCACTCTCTACCTGACGATTGGAGCCGCCCATCACTAAACCGTAAGTGTGATGATGATGTGCCATCAACTCTTTTAGTACTCCAAAAGTTTGCATCGACAATTCTCGTGTTGGTGATATAATGATAACACCGGTGCCATTTCGTGGCATAAACCGTAATTTGTATATTAACTCTATCGCTGGTATCAGAAAAGCCAACGTTTTGCCTGAACCAGTCTTGGCAGCACCAACTAAATCACGTCCCTCAAGCAATGGAGGTAGAGATTTAGCTTGTATTTCCGTCATCTCTGTAAATCCCATCTCTTCAATGGCTTTTAGAGTAGGATCTGACACGATTCCTTTAAGAGAACCAAACGACCGATCATTCGGATCGCGATTGACAAGAGCTTCTTCTGCAGTTGTGCCTTCTCGACTGGTTGATTGTACCTCTGATTTTTTCGTCGTAGTTTTTCCATTTTGATTATTCTTCAACGGCTTTTTATCATTTTCTTCGTAACCAGGTTCCACGTCTTCATCATCGGAGAATTCACTGCCATCATCTGAATCTAGAAGATATGAATGCACTGTAACTTTACGAGTATCCAAATTTATGTAAACTCATATACAAACGAGGAATCAGTAAAAATAATTTATATCATGAGCTTTAAAATATTCATAAGCAATAACTCGCTATGAAGAACATTCAAATTCGCCTTAAATATCATCACTTTTTTATTTAGTTACAATTATTGAACACATTTAAATTTCTACCAGGCTATACTGCGTACCTGGCTTTCGATCATCCTCACTATCGGAATCTGAATTCACTACTGCGATTTGACGTTGTTGTTTTTTCTTCGACACTTTTGCTTTCTTGGCCAAGGGTCCAGGAGCTTCGCTGAAGTCCCCATCTACCTCATCTACAGGAATACCATTTCAAAATTTGCTCTGGAAAAATTACATCTGTAATGAAACACATACCCTCCACTTTATTTACAGGACCAAGTTGGTGCTGCTTTCCCTTCTTCTTCTCCGCTAGCACTTTCTTCATTTTTTCACGTTTTTTTATCTTTTTCATTAGCAATTTTTCTCGCATAGACATTTTGCCAACTAATTTCTAGGCGCGATATGTTCTCCAAAAAATTAAATGTACCAGCAACAAAACACGTGTATATTATTTTGGCAGATGTGAAGTAGGAATGGCGAAAAAACATCAACGCATCGAAAATATCGATGAATTCCTTCGATGAATCGAAAATTTTCCTTTCGATGTGTTACCGGCCGTCTTCACATGCTTGCAAATCTCGCATAATTCTGCTTTTTTCTCTCCCAAGCGAGATAGAGTTTTATTGACTGGGCATTTGACAGCATACTTTTTCATTTGTAAAATGTCGCCAAACAAGAAGGTTCAAGCCTTGCAGGCTCTTAACAGTTTGAGAAAATTAGAAAATCTGCACAAAGGGAGAAAAAGACGCAAGAAACGGTTGTGGTTTGTATTTGCCTCCAAAATTAACGATGTTGCTACTCTGAAGAATTCTGCGAAATGAGAACTTAGCTGTCAAACAACAAAAATGGCAGTTGAAAGCAAGCGAGAGCTCGCATGCCGCTCTGTATGCGAGAAAAAGCATGCTTCGTAGTTTTTGCGGCCTACATGTGCGGCTTCTCGCATGCGTCGTCACGCAAGCGAGATTTTCCAGCACGTGAAGACGGCCGGTGAATAGTGTCAATGCAACGAGTTCTTGCTCATTCTCTTTTGTGTTTTCTATTTGCTTTTACACGTTTCAATTCTGTTGAATTCAAGTTTTTGGTTCTATAAATGGGAAGCAACGAAAATGCCAAAAGCAAAGCAAGAAAGTCGAAACGACTTGACGGTACAGACGCATGTGTACTCGTCCCTTTTCTTCTCACCCCCTCTCTTCCATATGCGAGCAGAATTGAATTCAATACTTGAACTGTGTAAAAGCAGTCAAATTAAAAGAAAACAAGATGCAGTTTTAAAATTGCTATTCCGAGCAAAGTATACTGAATTTTTTTATGAAACTCGGTGGGGATACTAATGGAGGTTTTCTTAAAAAAGGTTTCGGTGCCCAACACTTCTTTATCGGTACCCGGAATTGATTCTTTATATTAAACCTTCGCCATTATATGCATTTCAAGATTGGAAAAAACCAGTGTTCGTTACTGCTTGACTATTTTCAATGACTTCGAGACTGCTCAGCTGTGACTACGAAAATGTTCGCAGTCAAATGAAAGAGAACAAGCAACCAACAGAAATGAACACAACTGCTCTGCTGGCGACTGCGAACGGCGCGAAAGCTAAAGTCAGTAGCCGAAGTTGTTTGCTCATAGTTAACTGTTAACTTGAGTTGTGGTTTTATTTTGATGCGTAGTCAATGCATAGCGAAAACTGTTGCTGCAAGCAGGAACGACTGGAATTGACTACTCATTAGCTGCAATTGACTACGCAGTCAACGCAGTCTTAGAAATTTTTTGCTGAAATATGTATACATATGTACATTAGGGTGATGCAAAAAAAAGTTCTAGGTCTTGCTCCCTCAAAAGTTAGTAATTGATGAAAAATTATTCCTAAAAAAAATGAGCGCCATTGCTTAACCCTTATGGGTCGCTATTTTTTTTTAGTTTCTCCATACATTTTCTATGGGAAAAAATAATTTTTTTTTCAAAGCGATTTTTTTATAATTTTTGAAACTTTTTCCAAAAAAACGTAATACATTCTAAGGCTCACTTGCACAACGAAAATTTCTATTTTTAACTCAGAGTTAACGGGGTTAAATTAATAAATTTTTGACAACTTTTCAAATTAACTCTGAGTTAAAAAGATAACTCGGCGTCGTACAAGTGGGCCTTAAAGTGGAAACTTTGATCAGTCCAAAACTATATACAAATGGCGATTATCACAACTACGAAACTAATTATAGTCAGTTGACTAAATGACTAAATTTGTGGTGCTGAGCTAATTGGAGTAAAATTGTTGTTGTGATAATCGCAATTTTTATATAGTTTCTTATAGTTTAGTTTTTATATAGTTTAGATCAAAGCTTCGACTTTAAGAATATATAAAGCTTTTTTGAAAAAAGTTTAAAAATGTATGAGAAAAATCGCTTTGAAAAAAAATAATTTTTTCCACACAAAATGTATGGAGAATTTAAAAAGAAATAGCGACCCCAAAGGGTTAAGCAATGGCGCTCATGTTTTGTGAGGATTAATTTTTCAGCATTACCCTAATGTTCATACATACATATGTAGGTATGTAAGTACAATGTAAATATATACGTAATGCAGCATATACATAGTCAAGATAAAATATAGTTTTAAGCTTTTTGGCACAATTTTATATGTGCTAGCTGTCAAAAATGCTTCAACTAACTTCAAATCATATTTATTTAGACTATAAATATGCCCGATGCAATCTTCTCAACGTTTTTATTTAAACGCGGAGCCATGACGAACACTTCTAATAACAACGCGAAATCAACTGACGACTTTGCAAATTTTTCATTTACTAATGCATTGACTACGCATCAAAATAAAACAACAACTCAAGTTAACAGTTAACTATGAGCAAACAGCTTCGGCTACCGACTTTTGCTTGCGCGCCGTTCGCAGTCGCCAGCAGAGCAGTTGTGTTCATTTCTGTTGGTTGCTTGTTCACTTTCATTTGACTGCGGTCATTTTTTTAGTCATAGCCACAGTCGTGGTCGTTACTAAAACAAATGACTGTGAAACTGCAATGCAATAGTCATATTATATTGCTTTTGCTAATTTTCAGTCAGCAATTCAAACGCTGGAAAAAACTTTCATTACTAATTTATATGATATCGGCTAAAGCACTTGAACTTATCGCAAAACAGAAATATTATTTTATCAGTTTTAATCCTAGTCGATCCAAGGAAAAATACTTTGACGGATGAAGAGCCTTTCAGGGGGAGCCGGGGGTGGGGGTTGGGATTCTGTAACCAGTTAGCGACAAGTTTCGGATTGATATCGCACTTGTTGACGTAAAAATATTTCATATCATACGCCAAAAAAACCACTACCGATTCGAAAATTGTCGCTAACTGCTAACAGAATCTGTCGCTAACTGGTTACAGAATCTGCCTACAAAAATGATATCGTCCGATTCAGCTGGAACAAAATTGCTTCAAACAAGTAAGAGTTTCTCTGTATTATGGCCTCGAACCGACATATATACATCTTTCGTTTGAGTCCACGATCCAGAAAATAAAGGTCGCGCCATTCGCGGACCGCTAACCCTCTCTTCGTCGATTTGACAGCATCCACCCAATCGCTGACGTCATAATATACTTTTGCTTACATTCACTGTTGCCAACTTGATGCTTTTCGCACCAAATTTAGTGGGTATTCAAAATGCGAAAATTTTTGAGTTTTGTGCTTGGTGCCTTTTTGGTGCTTTTGTTTTTAGTTTGAAGACTTCAAATTAGAAAATCTTAAAAAAATGGAAGCAAAATGTATAAGGGTATTCATCAAACCTTATAAATGCATTGTAAACCGTATAAACTTATAATTGTGTAAACCTTGTAAATTAACTGTCAAAATTTGTATGGAAACTCGTTTACACATTTCTGATAAATTTATCCAGCGATTTCACTGAATAAACTTGATAAACTGAAGACAATGCAACTCTGTCGCAACTCTAGCTATGTTTTCTTAGGCAATAATCGGGATCCGCATACAAATTTTGCACGCAAATTCAACAACGATATGATCCTGATAGAGATCTGGTTCAATTATTATCCCGTCTGTTTGTTTTGTTTCACTGATAATTCGCAAAGTTTGGTAGCCGTGACAAATGAATTCATACACAACCAGACATTCTGCCATTGTTTCTTATAACTTGCTTCAAATAAATAGCCTTTATGTTATATGTACATTTATTTAAATAGATATCTCGTAAATATAATTTTTTCCAATTTAGTGAGGTAGTTTCTATAATTTCTTTATCCCCGTGCTAGTAGTATAAAGTTAGTGACACTGCGCTTTATAACCAAAGAAAACACGACTATTGTCGCATGTGTAAACGAAAAGAGAGTATGGGTCGTTCATGTAACAGAGTGCATAAACTTATAAGATTATCTGATTGATAAAATTATCGGTTTAGATGAATACCACTTATAGCAATCGTAAGTGTGCTAAGCAATTTTACAAAAATTTAAACAAAATCATGGCACAGTGATAATCATAAGCGACAACGAAATATGTGCGCACCTTCAATCATGCCAGAAGAAATCGACCGTTGTGCAAGAAACATTGATTTTTATTAATACACCAATAAAAATTTCGTGCTTTTTCAAATTCAAAACTTGGCAATACTGCCTTTTGTTCGATGCTTCTTCTTTTTCTTGTCGAGTTCGTCTTGCTCTCTCATTCTGGTATATTTTGACGTCACAGCCAGTTGCTCTCAGCTCGATTGGCGCAATCTTGTATTCTATCATTCTTGATTTGAGTCAGTATTAAACACAGTATAGACAGTAACCAACCTTTTTGGGTTGTTGTTGTAGTTATATTCACTCCTGAGGAAGGCACGGGGTTGTGTGCTGCTATATAATGGCCTTCCTCAGACTTTTTCTTAGATTTCAGGGTTGTGTGCTGTATTATTATAGATAAATAAATTTAAGTATTTGTCAAATCATGATTTTATTAAAAGAAAATTATAAATGGTGTTGAAAAACCAAACAAACACTCGTGCGAAAGCTCTATTTTTGTGTATTGTTAAAATTTATACATGGCGTACTTATTCTCATGATAAAAATATAGTAAGGTAGAACCGCTGAGAGTCACTTTTAAAATTCTTGACGTTTCCAAACAATTTAATTTTTAAATTTACTCACAAACTCACACACACATTTTCATTTTCAATCTCAAGCAACAACAATTTCGAACAATTT